CTGTAGTTTGAGGACCCCTGTCTTAAAATATAATTGACTTCTAACAGAAGGTCCCATTTTGAAGCTGATTACATTGTGTTATGTAATATTGTGAGAGATTACTAGGCCTTAACTGCCAAACCACTAGACTACTAACCCAGGCAAGTTGACACAAAACCTGACTATCACAGTCCATCCTTTGTCAAATTGGCACATGTGCACATCTCCTTAAACCATGCTTAATTTCCAAAAGACTAGCAATGTCAAACTTGTGCAACTAATGTGTACAACAAAATGCATTATCCTATTTATATCTTCAATTTTATGAAGGAATGAAACAAAAATAATTGCTGTGTACATAAAAGGAGGAATACTTATAGCAATTATACACATTTCTGCATTTGATCACATAGACAAAGCTGGTATTTAGAACTCCCCCTGCCCCCAATTCATTCCATATTTTCTTTGCCTTCAATAAACACCTCAGTTGGGCATAGTTATTTCCCTGACAAGGAGAACCAAAGCTTCATTCCCAAAGGAGCTGGACCATTAGTAATAGTCATATCAGAATTGGGTTGCAATAGTTTGCCATTTATTTCAATCACAGGGCATGGCAATACTAAAAAGCCTAAAGAAACTCCTGGATTCCATTCATACTTTTTGTGGTAAAAACTAAGAACTGATTGCCATCGAGTCGAGTGATCCTATAGGACAGGGTAGAATTGCCTCTCTAAGTTTCTGAGACTTTAACTGTTTATGGGAGTAGAAGGCCCTGTTTTTCTCCCAATGATCTGGCTAGTGGTTTTGAACTGCTGACCTTGCCCAATGTGTAACCACTACACCACCAGAGCTCCTTATTAGGTAATATCAACCCAGTTTTCCTTTGTTAATCAGGATCAGTCACTCTGGATCACTCATACAGTAAACTCCTATTTTTGCCCATTGATCCAGAGCCAGGAGGAACCCAAAATAGCCCAGAGGCTTTTTTTATTGTCAGTTCATTGGTATTAGTGTACTGTCTCCAGGTAGAGTATTTTTCCCTTTGGAAGAACTCCAAATTGGAGGAGCAAGGGGTTACAGAGGCAGAAATCCAAAATGTTGCAAATGAGTTCCTAGGAGTAATAGTGAGTAGTTCCACTTCCTTTTACACCTCTTGGTTCCTGGACCCAGGAATCCTGGCTATTGGAGAAATAGCACCATATAATGGATGGTGGTTTAGAGCATATACAATTTCCTGGGAAATATTATGCCAAACCTTCAAGCTATTGCCACCCAGCTGGTCCTGTAATTGTTGTTTTAGGAGGCCATTCCATTACTAAGTCAAGCCAGCTGCTTCAGGATAGCAGGGAACATGGTAAGACTATTCGATTCAGTGAGCCTGGGCCCATAATAAAAAAGTACTAACTTTTTTCCCCTTGTGATATGTTATATATTTTCTTCTCTTAATATTTGAAACCTTTCACAACTAGATAGTGTATTTCTAGCCTTTGATATTCAATTCATGGAGTTGAAAACATAAAATTTAGTGCATTCTGTGTCAC